ATGCCTCTAGTAACAGTATCTCTTCCTTTGTTGAAAGTACATATATAACAACAGGCACAAGGCTAAATATAGCTATATAGGTTTTCAGAAAAAAATTGTTTTTCACAGTGAATGAAGCTACATGGACACAGATGGCTCAGCCTGTTTGCCCACAGACTTCCAAGCTCTAACCCACAGAAGTAATTTCTTACTTTCTTTATGAAGCTTTTTGGAACCATTAAAACCATAACGATGTACTGCATCGCAGCTTTTCTGTTTTGCCACTCTACTTTGAAGACTTTGTATTCTTTGTTCCTCAGCCCATTTATCCTTGATGATGCTGCATCAAAGAGCATGATGGTGTTGATTTAGCCACTTCATTTTCAGCAGCTTACAGTGGAAGGATCTTGTTACACTAAACTTTTCAGCTAAGAGAAAGACCCTTTAAACTATTTAAATAAGGCTGAGGTCTATAGTTTTGAACACAAACGTTGTGGAATCCTTCACTAAGAGCTACCTAAAGGAAGTCAACATTGTGACCTCAGTGATGGACTTTGATGAATTTGGGCTTTGAAGCAGTAGGACAAAAGTGGAAAGCTGTGAAGCAGACAACTGCAAAACTTATAAAAGTGCTTTAGTTTTGGGTTTTTATATGTCCTCCCCTCTCCCTTAAAAATCAAAGGTAATAAAAAGGCAAGAGGTATATAATTCCTCTCTTTCTTTTTTGCATTTTGATTTTGCTGGCAGCTTATTTTTCAATAGTGCAGAAACATGCTGTATATTATATGTGCCAAAGCACAGAGGCAGTATAGCTAGTAGTATAAACCATAAAAAATCTGGAGGACAAACAGAACACAGAAAATATTTGTCCACATCTTTAAACTATCCCCAGCTTGTTTGGGTTTGTTTTCGATGGCCATTGTGCATCTCTACCTCTGACATGTTCTTCGTGCTGGGATTTCCAGAGGAATCCTAATCTTTCTATCAAACTCTTGGCCACCCTTGACCTCCCATACTCTGCCTGTACTCATTTCTGCCAAATTGTATCTTTAGCAAGAAAATCAGCAAGAACAATTCATTTTCTATTTCTTTCCTTTCAATTTCATTTACTGAAAGCAGCTCAGAGTGAACTGAAAAGCTTCAGTAGTTGTCAGACTTGTGAGATTACAGACATTTTTCTCAGTAATGTAAGTGGAGAAGAAGGAATGACAGGCTGCAGTCATGGCAGGCTCTAGCCTTGGTTTGTTGTCATTTTTTCTGTCTGCTGTGTGATTTTTCGGAGGACCCACCTATGGCTTCCTAAAGATTCAAGTGTGCATAAGAAGATAAAAAGACACCTACCAAGAAGAAATGCAACTTTTCTAAGAGCGAAGAGAGTAGAATGACTACAAAAGAAACTATACATAAATAATAAAAAGATAAAAATAGAGTATCTCCTCAGCACTCAGTAATTGCCGTGGCTTCATTGCTTTTAATTGGAGTATCCAAAATTCTACCTGCTAGCAATCTACTCCAACACATATATTTTCCATACAGAATTAGGATAGAACTGAGAGAAACTTAAAATATTAATAGTAGTCTTTTAACATTTCAAAGACCAAAAATCAACTGCAGGAAGAAGAATTCAGCTAAGGTTGTATTTTATCAGGGAAAAACAAGTTTGAAACCCTTTCATTAAAGCCAGCTGAAAGATTTCTGACCACTCTGAAATAGACAAAGTTATACAGTCAGACAAGCTTTTGTCTAGTTGGATGTTTTTAATGTCTTGTATGTATACCCATTATACCTTAATGAAAGTACATAGGTCAGGAAGCAATTCAAAAGGATTCTCTCCAGGCTATCTGCACTGAAAGCTGACTTAGCACTGGGGCATTTGATGATCCACCTCAGAGTGTTGGCCATTTACTTGCTGAAATGTACTCCATTCCTTTGAATAGTACTAGTAGTAAATGCTGAAAGATGTCTTAGCTGGCTGGAAAGGTAAAAGAAGAAACAGAAGTTTATTATTCCCAACATATTATATTTTTCTGACCCAGGAGTATTTTGAGGTACCTGCACCTCTTATAACACAGACACTTCCAACTTTCAAGCTGCTTGAAACTGAAGAAGGTTGAACAGAAAAAAAGCCCAACAAAAATCTAACGAACAAACAACCTTAGATGAACAATTCCTCTATGAAGTCATAGAATCATAGAATGTTTTGGGTGGGAAGAGACCTTGAAGATGTATGAAGAAAACCTAAGTTTTCAGAGTTGTTCGGCTCACCTAAAACCACTATGCTTGAAGCTAGATCTCCCTGAAGTAGCTTCCCTTGAGAGAAGGAAAAATTAAACAAACCCAGTTTTACTTCAAAGTATAAGAACAGTTTTTCTGTGTCACTCAAAACTTTACCTAGCTTGATTTCACTCCTCTGACTAGTTGCATATTCTTAAGGTAAGATATAACAGAATGTGTGTAGAGTACTTCAGATATAACCTTCAACTTTAGCATTCAGAGCTGGAGGATGCACCTAGATCATTGTGATTAATAGCCAAAGAGAGCAATATCCAATTTCAAAATTTTGCAGTCAGCTGTAAAAAGGAGTATAACATTCTTTAAGTACTATGTAGGCTTAGTTCAGTAGAGTAGAACATGTTTTTCTTGGCCAATGTTATTTACTTCATACCTGCTTTTTCCATAAGTCAACAACTTTATGCAGAAGTTCATCATCTTCTCTGGGTCCTGGATTGGTGATCAAAAAGTCTATGTCATGTCCAATCTTCTTACCCCTGGAAGCAATAAATAGCAAGGAGACTAAAAGAGTTCAGTTCCTGTTGAATTTCACACTGTTTTTGAGGAGATTTTTGCTGCATTATAAAAAGTGCTTGCAGAATAAAGTGACAGTAATGTTTCTTGAAACATAATCAAAATGGAATCGTCTATTATGGGATCATCAGTGTACTTTGTTAACTGATAATTTAAGTTTTTTCATATATTTTCTCTGTTGTTTGACTAGACACTGCAGAACCATTTGCAGATGTTAAATCTCTCTCTTTCTTCCCCTTAACTCCAAGAAAAAAAAGGTTTCAGTCATCTTTGGATAAAGAAAAAGCATAATCAAAATTCCATGGTACATATTATGAATCCAGTGCAGTAACAGGAGATAAACTTGCCAGTCTAACTACCATAGGCTTAAATATTCTTCTTTGCTTTTGATCAACACGTTAATGTACAAAACTGTGATTATGAATAATTTCTTTGTTTCTTTTAACAGCAGATATAAATCCTTTGAGTATTTTGCATTTCTTCTTTTTAAAAATATAACGTTTTTTGCAGAGACTGAGCTTGATTCTTTTTCGAGAACAGTTCAGCCTTAATATGACTAAAGCTTGTTTATTACATCCACTGAGGATTTCACAGTTAAATCCATGTGCACAAAGTTTAATTGTAAATGTTCTTAATGAAAAATTATGTCATAACCTCTTGTTTTCCTCATTTAAGTCTAAGCATTCAGCTTGCTTTTCATCCACTTACCAAACGTGTTAAACCAAAATCAGATTAAGATGTAGCTATCCTTGGAAAACAGGCAAAAACATGCTATTGGAATGTTTCCCTCTGGAGTTATAAAATGCTTGAGAGCATCTAGAAATTTATCTTAGAGTGAAATTCATTTGGGGATTGCAGAACCAATACAAGGTATTCATTTTGGTCTAAATACTGCAACAGGAACTGCATACAGGTCTATTTATTGACTGTAATTCAGGCCAGCCTAAGGAGAAAGAAGCCGAGGAGCTATTTCTGCAACTAGGTGCATTATGGAGGTAGTGGAGTAAGTAATTAAAATCCAGAGAAGTGGCACCTAAGTGCAGCACATCTCCAAACATTTCTCTTGTGTTTATGGGGAAAGTCTTCTCCTGCTGATGTTCACATGGGTACATGATGTTACAGCTCAGGATGTGTTTCAGTCAGCACTGTATCAAGTGTTCAGAGAACTTGTGAGCTGCTATACAAGCAATGAAAATGGAAACTGTGCAAAACAAAAGATCTTCTTTTTTTGGTATTCATTAAATAATTCATTTTCTTAAAATAGTGCTTAAAACTGAACCTGATTTCTTAAACTTGGAGATTTGTAGGAACAGAACTGATAGGCAGACACATCAACTGCCATTTGTGTGACAGGAAATCCTCTAACTGATGGATAGTTGAACAGCATTAACAGCAAGATGTAAGGAGATAAAAGTGTAGGTTTTGCATTTGACAAGGAGTCTAACTCGCTATAATGCAACTATTGTGCCATGTCTGCAGCAAAGTCGAAATTGCTTAAACAGGTGGAAATGATTTCAAAAGGAGTTTCAAACAAAGCATCAGTCTAGGCTTAGAAACTGAACAGCAATTCAAACTCAAGAAGTTAAGAAACATTTAGCATTCCATGTAACACTTTCTGAGTTATTTTGTGGGATGACATTCATTATCTCTTAAATTACAATAATAATGCAAAGCTCTTACATAGCACTTTTTACTTACATGTCTCAAAATGCTTTTTTCAAAGGGAGGGAATTTACTATTCCTATCTTAGAGATGCAGACAGTGGCATAAGAAAACTTGCTTAAAATTATTTTTAAATTGGAAGCTGACAGAACTGGGAGCTGATTCCCAGTGCTTCCTCAACACATACATATTTTAGATTAACCACATTAACGAAATCCTGTATCAATCCAGCTATAAAATACCAAGAAATCCAAGGTGCTTCCCTGGCCATCTATTTCTCAAGAGAGAGAACATGTAATGAAATGTGGGGGGTTTTGGTGTGGTTATAGTGTTTAAATCTCAGATCAAAACTCACAATATAAAATATTTGTTATTGTCAGAGTTATATTTCAGGTTGTCTTTGAACTAATAAACATTGGGTTAATTTCTAACTGAATTTGTCAGGCTGTTGCTGGAGAATTTAGTCTAATTTCCACTAGAACTCTTGCCCAAATAATGTATTTCATCCTAGAGAAATGCATTACCTCAGCACAGAAAGACAATCTAGTAAATTAAAAAGCAGTATAATACGTATCTCTCATGGCTTGTAAGTAACGCAAAAAGGTTCAGCAAAGTGCACATAGATTCAGACCATCATTCCACTGGAGCTGAAGGGAAGGTGGCCATTAATTTTGGCATGGTAGAGGGTTTCACATATGCATACAAACATCCAACCATGGGGATTGGCAAAATTACATAAAGGGCACACAGGATGGGATAGTGCCGAGATGCTCTGTCCCCAGCTCAGGAAGTACATAAACCCATGTATTTGTTTATCAGCAGTTCACCAAAGCTGAAGCTAACTATATTCCTAAAGGCTAGATATGATACAGGACTTGATTATATACAAGTTAAACATCATGAGGCCAGACATCCAGTCTTCAAATGGGTTATGTAAGCCCAGAATTTGTCATGTGATTAAGTGCTTCAGAGATGAAATCTCAAGCTCTTGTTTATTCCTGAAGCTCACCAAGAGGAACTCTACAGGCTGCAGTCTTTTTCAAATCC